ACAATGCTAGGAGCCCTAATACATGGCATAAACAGAATACAAACCATAAGGAACAATGCATAAGCACCAGAAGAGAGACTAGATAACTGGGAGCTCCTAAAAATCAAACATTCATGCTCATCAAAAGACTTCACCGAAGGAGTAAAAAGACAACCTACAGACTGGGAAAAAATTTTTGGTTACGGCAAATCTGATCAGCATCTAATCTCTAAAATCTACAAGATACTGCAAAATCTCAACAACAGAAAGACAAATAATCCAATTAAAAAATGGGCAAAGGATATGAACAGACACTTCACCAAAGAAGATATTCAGGCAGCTAACAGACACGTGAAGAAATGCTCACAATCATTAGCCATTAGAGAAATGTAGATCAAAACTACAATGAGATATCATCTCACACCAACAAGTCAAGCATTAATCCAAAAAACACAAAACAATAAATGCTGGAGAGGTTGTGGAGAGACTGGAACACTTATACACTGTTGGTGGGAATGCAAAATGGTACAACCACTTTGGAAATCGATTTGGCGCTTCCTTAAAAAGCTAGAAATAGAAGTACCATAGGATCCAGCTATCCTGCTCCTTGGAATATATCCTAGAGAAATAAGAGCCGTCACATGAATAGATATATGCACAGCCATGTTCATTGCAGCACTGTTCACAATAGCAAAAAGATGAAAACAACTTAGGTGCCCATCAACGGACGAATGGGTAAGCAAATTATGGTATATCCACACAATGGAATACTATGCAACCATAAAGAACAACAATGAAGTTGTGAAACATCTTACAACATGGAGGAATCTGGAGGGCATTATGCTGAATGAATTTAGTCAGTCACAGAAGAACAAATATTGTATAAGACCACTATTATAAGAACTCAAGAAAAGGTTTAAACACAGAAGAAAACATTCCTTGATGGTTACGAGGGTGGGGAGGGAGGGTGAGGGTTATTCACTAACTAGATAGTAGATAAGAATTATCTTAGGTGAAGGGAAGGACAGCACGCAATATAGGGGAAGTCAGTACAACTGGACGAAACCAAAGCTGAGAAGTTTCCTGAATACAATCAAACACTTTGAAGGACAAAGTAGCAGGGGTGGGGGTCTGGGGACCATGCTTTCAGGGGACATCTAGGTCAATTGGCATAACAAAGCTTATTAAGAAAATGTTCTGCATCCTACTTTGGTGAGTGGCGTCTGGGGTCTTAAAAGCTAGCAAGCAGCCATCTAAGATGCATCAATTGGTCCCAACCACCTGGAGTAAAGGAGAATGAAGAACACCAAAGACACAAGGAAAGTATTAGCCCTAGAGACAGAAAGGGCCGCATAAACCAGAGACTTCATCAGCCTGAGACCAGAAGAACTAGATGGTACCCGGCTACCACCAATGACTGTTCTGACAGGGAACACAACAGAGAGTCCCTGATGGAGCAGGAGAAAGGTGGGGTGCAGAACTCAAATTCTAGTAAAAAGAAGATCAGACTTAATGGTCTGACTGAGACTGGAGGAACCCCGGAAAGCATGGCCCCCGGATTCTCTATCAGCCCAGAACTAAAACAATTTCCGAGGTCAACTTTTCAGACAAAGATTGGACTGGACTTTGGGACATAAAATGATACTTGTGAAGAGTGTGCTTCTTAGCTCAAGTAGATACATGAGACTAAATGGGCAGCTTCTGTCCAGAGGGGAGATGAGAAGGCAGAGAGGGTTAGGAGCTGGTTGAATGGACATGGGGAATCAGGGGTGTTAGGTGACCCTAATTGCTCTCCCTATACTGTGACAGCACAAGATAGGAATGGAATTGGCTTGCCAGATTTAAAAACCCATCCATTGCTGTGGAGTTGATTCCAACTCATAGCCACCATATAGGACAGAGTAGAACTGCCCCATAGGGTTTCCAAGACTGTAATCTTTACGGAAGCAGACTGCCATATTTTTGTCTTGCAGAGCAGCTGATAGGTTTGAACTGTCGACCTTGAGGTTAGCAGCCGAGCGCTTAATCACTGCATCACCAGGGCTCCTTTGCCAGATTTAGCACCCCCTCAAAAAATACAGGACACCTCATTAAATCTAAACGTTAGATAAACAACAAATAATTTTTTTAGTATAAGTATGTCCCTTATGGGACAAATTTATACTAAAAAATAATTGTTGTTTATCTGAAATTCTAATTTAATTGGGCAATCCTAGATTGAATTTTGTCACAGTATTATTACTCAGTCTTTTGAACTCCTGAGTTATATGCTGAAAATCACATAATGGTCTACCACACACACACACAAAAATGTTTTTAAATGATCAGTTAACAACTTCTTCAATTTTGTTAATAGCAAAAATTGAAAACTACCTGAGGTGGGAAAAATTGTTTATCACTGAGTTATTAGAGCTGTTCACTTTCTCAACACTTAGGTTAGTATTTTGAATTGTCTCTTGGTTTTTACACCCCAGGGCAAGACACCCTGCTAAGATTTTGGAGTAGGAGAAGAATGATTGTAACCAAGGACATTTAACCACAGGCACTGGGTCTTGATGAAAGTTGAGAATCTGGAAATTTTTAAAAAATCCTCTGCAGCTCCCCCCAGCACACCCCGTAGAAAGTCTTTGTGTACCCCGTTTCAAAACCAGTGTTGTAAAGGACAGGGATCAGGAGTCTGGGAGGTTGAGCTAAAGGACAGGTTGATATCTAAACTTTTTCTTCTTAAATTTAAAACATTGCAAAAGATAAGATTTCCAGCCTAGTGTCCGCCTCAGAGGCACATATACTACAATTTACGGGATACAGAGAAGATTAACATGGCCTCCGCGCAAGGATGATGGTGCAAATTTGTGAAGCGTTCCGTAGTTTCAAAGCTGGATGCATGGAAATAGGGAACTCGAGGTCAAGAAGGGGAGTGTTGACACGTCGCGGGGTTGGCAACCAGTGCCATGAAGCAATATGTGTATTAATTGTTTAATGAAGCTCATTTGTGCTCTGTAACAAATGGGGTCACCATAAATAAGTCAGAATTGACCTGATAGCACTGGGTTTGTTTTCGTTTGATTTTTTGGTTTTTGCTCCCTTCAGCAGGAACCACCCGGGGCAACCAAAATATGTTACTTCCTTTCATCCTTGTTCACCTCTTTATCTTTCCAGCCCCATTGCCTCACACCTGTCCCTGCCTGACACATGCCCAAGCCCTTGGACGGTGCTTTTACTTTTCCAAATATTTAAAAAAAAAAAAAAATAGGTCCACTTAGTTATTTAGACTCCAATGTTATACTATACCCATTGAGTTGATTTTGACTTTATAAATAGGACTATAACTTTTTACAAGAATGTTGGTAAAAAATAGGAGCCCTGGTGGCTCCAGTGGTTAAGCGTTCGGCTGCTAACCAAAAGGTTGGCAGTCTGAAAATTATAAAATTCAACAAATAACCTATATCATTCTGATACCATGAAAGTCCCTAAATAGGTGATAACCATTGTATTTTGAAACCTTTGTTAGTTTCACTGTTCTCTGCTTTTGTTTCCACAAAGTAGCTTTTACTTCTGCTCTTCATCTTCATTTTTTTCTAGCAAGTAGAGTGCCTATGTTCATCAAATGGAAAAAGTTATTGTTGTTGCTATTATAAAAACTCATGAAACAGGTTACACACAGAAAGAAATAATCTCCCATTGTTACTAGGAAAGGGAGGCGTAGGGAGGGAAAAACACTAAATAGACAACAGGTAAGTGGTAACTTTGGTGAAGGGTAAGACAGTAGATAACACTGGGGAAGTCAGCACAACTTGACCAAGGCAAGGTCATGGACGCTTCATAGACATACCTAAATTCCCTGAGGGTCCGAATTACTGGGCTGAGGGCTGCGGACCATGGTCTCCGAGGACATCTAGCTCAACTGGCATAGCATAGTTTATAAAGAAAATGTTCTACATCCTACTTTGGTGAGTAGCGTCTGGGTCTTGAAAGCTTGTGAACAGCCATCTAAGATATTCCACTGGTCCTATCCCGTCTGGAGCAAGGAAAAATGAAGAAAATCAAAGACATGAGGGAAGGATTAGTCCAAAGGACTAATGGACCACAACTACCACAGCCTCCACCAGACTGAGTCCAGCACAACTAGATGGTGCCTGGCTACCACCACTGACTGTTCTGACAGGGATCACAATAGAGGGTTCTGGACACAGCTGGAGAAAAATGTAGAACAAAATTCTAATCCACAAAAAAAGACCAGACTTAACTGGTCTGACAGAGACTGGAGAAACCGCAAGAGTATGGCCCCTGGACACCCTTTTAACTCAGTACTGAGGTCACTCCCGAGGTTCACTCTTCAGCCAAAGATTAAACAGGCCCATAAAACAAAACGAGACTAAATGGGTACACCAGCCCAGGGGCAAGGACTAGAAGCCCAGAGGGGACTGGAAAGCTGGTAACGGGGAACCCAACGTTGAGAAGGGGAGAGTGTTGACCTGTCGTGGGGTTGGCAACCAATGTCACAAAACAATACGTGTATTAATTGTTTAACAAGAAACTAATTTGCTCTGTAAACCTTCATTTAAGTACAACAACAACAAAAAAAAAACTAAAAAAAAGTTATTGTTGTAATGATGATGATGGTGATAGTTAATATCCCTCAAGTACTTACTATGTGCAAGACATCACGTCAGCTACTTGACATTATATCAATTAATCCTTACAAACCCCTATGAGGTAGTTGTCATTATATTCATTTTGCAGCTGAAGAAGCTGAAGTTGGATCAATTTGATAACTTACCCAAAGTAACACACAGCTTGAACAGGATTTGAACCCAGGTCTATGCTATTGACTATGTACTATAGATACCTGTTGCCAGTTATTAAAAATGGTCATACGTATATGTACTTGGGACCTATTAAAACAAATAAATGAAAAGCCATTTATAGGGGAGTAAGTGGCTGTTTTTTTGTATCCTGCATCTAGCCTCCCCATTTGTCTACTTCTCTGGGGGATTTCCACTCCCCCACTGCAAATCATGTAATTCTGGTACCCAGGGCTGCCAATCACAGTGCTCCACCCTCCCTGCAGAACAGGTGTGCCATCAGTCCTGGCCAATCACAATTAACCATGGCCCAGACCTTAGGGATTGGTCCTAGGGACAGGCACGTGACCCAAGAAAAGCCAATTAGAGCCCTATCTATGGGATTTGACACATAGTCACTGGAAGAAAGAGGCTCACACTTCCCTATTGATTATAGTTGTGATGATACAGCTCTGGGACAACTGGCAGTCACATCAACGGACTCTTCCTGCTTGCAAACCCATCTCCTCGGGGAAGGAAGAAGGCCAACCCTCACAAGGGAAGTGAAGTAGCTTCAAGAAAAGCAAACTCAGGGTCTCCTGATGACATAGGTTAAGCCCAAGAAATTCACCATCTCTGAAGACAGCTCCACTCATGGACCTCCCAGTTAGGTGAACTTATTAACTTGCTGTTTGTCCTTACTATTAGGGTTGCTGCTACTTTCAACCTTAAGAGTTCTAATTGACAGCTCAGGAAGAAGAATCTCCATTGTCCATTTGGAAGGTCATCTTTAATCACAAAACAAAGTTTCCTGTTTAGGTGGCCTCATGAGGAGTTTGGTGCCAAGTTCCCAGCACTTACTTTGGAGAAGCTGAGGGGGCTTTTTGGTATCTGGTGAGGATGTGGCTGACTGGTCTTTCCTCTGCATCTCTGCATACTCTGCTAGGGGTCTGAGCAGAGCCAGGGCTCCGGAACATTGCAAGTAATTGCCATCAAGATGCAGCTCACTGGGGGAAGGGGACAAAATACATCATTCATTTGATGTTATTTCTACCTCCTGAAATTTGGATTTGGGGTCTTCCTTTCATAAAATTATGGAGCCTTGGTGGCACAGTGGTTAACAGCTCAGCTGCCAACCAAAAGGTTGGCAGTTCAAATCCACCATCCGCTCCTTGGAAACCCTCTGGGCCAGTTCTACTCTGTCCTATAGTGTCCCTATGAGTCAGAATCGATTCGATGGCAACAGGTTTTTTTTTTTTCTTCCTTTTTTTCCCCATAAAATCAAAGGTCATAAAAGCAGACCTAGGAACAATGGCAGCTGGTAAAAACATGCATTCAGCATTACACCCTGATTCTCAAACTTAACTAAAAGGACTTTCTCTGATAATTAGCAGAAAACAAAAACCTAGAGGGGGAGGAACAAGATGATTAAAATCACAATGAGAAATCACGGGAAGTCATGGGCTGGTAGGCTTTTTAAATAAGCAGGTTGTGTAACTCAAGATGGAGCAGTGCCAAGATGAGCGGGGGAAGCTGGGGACGTGCCTTACCAAATGGCACTACGGCTTATGACAGCACCCAGCCTTGGCCCGCTCTGTGGCCCCAGACTGCAGTAACGCAGACTGAGGCCTTGAAGCCTTTGGCTGTTCTCCAGACCTGAGAAAATACTCTGTTTCCTCATTTCCAAATCTAAAAAGAAATGACAAGAACAAATTAGTGGCCTTTAAAACCTACGTCAGCCATTGGATCATTAATTTCAAAGCACTCTCTGGGGCCAGTGAGAAGCGGTAACCATTTGCTATAGCTAATTGTTAACAGTTATAGCAAATGGCTAATAGCACCCAGAGGTCCCGGGATAGTGCAAACAGTTTGCACTCAAATACCAACCTAAAGGTTGGTGGTTTGAACCCACCTGGCACCGTGAAAGAAAGGTTTGGCAATCTGCTTCCATAAAGATCATAGCCAAGAAAACCCTATGAAGCTCAGTTCTACTCTGTAACACATAGGGTCGCCATAAGTCAGAATCAACCTGATGGCATTGGGTTTGTTTGTTTTGGTTTCTTTTTTTTTTTTTGGTTTTTGCTCCTTTCAGCAGGAACCACTGGGACAACCAAAATGTGTCACTTCCTCTCATCCCTGTCACCTCTTAATCTTTCCAACCCTACTCCCTCACATCTATCCCTGCTTCCAGGCCAGGGCTGGCTGTGAGGGTGGGGTAGCTGTGGAGGAAAGAGGCCCGGAGTCTGTCTCCTGGGAAAAGCGAGCAGTGGACAGTTGGAAGTATCCATTCAGGGGAGCAGAGGGGAAACAAGCTCTGGATCCTGGAGGCGACCATCACAGAGACAAGAGAGATGGCCCAGCTGGCAGGGCCAGGAGGAGTCTGGGAAGACCCCAGCAGCACCAGGACTTTGTGAGAAAGGAGCCCTTTAAGTGTGTTCAGAGCAGGCTCAGGAAAGTTCCACCACTTGCCTCCCCTTTCACAGGCGCCGGCTACTCTCTCGCTTTGTATTGCACAGTCCTTGAGTTCGCAAAGTGAAATCACATGTATGGTCTCACTATGCCCGCAGCAGCCTCTGGAGGTAGGTATTAACATGTTATGAGTCAGGAAGCTGAGGTTCAGTGAAGTAAAGCGACATCTTCAAGGAACTTGTAATATCAAGTCTTGAACTTTAAGGCAAGGTAGGTAGTATTAACAGAAATAACTTTTTTTTTTTAATTTTTTGATTTTTTATTGTACTTCAGGTGAAGGCTTACAGAACAAATAGTTTCTCATGAAACAGTAGTACACATATTGTTTTATGACATCTGTTAACAACCCCACAACATGTCAACCCTCTAACTTCTCAACCTTTTTTTTTGGTGAAAATATACATAGCCAAAGATACACCATTTCAAAAATTTCTACATGCACAGTTCAGTGACACTGACTACGCTCTTCCAATTGTGCTGCTGTTCTCACTTAAGATGAAGGCTTACAGAACAAAACAGTTTCTCATTTAACAGTTACTACAAATGTTGCCCTATGACAATCTCACAACACATCAACAATATCCTTACTCAACCTTGGGTTCCCTATCACCGGCTTCCT